TTCATTGTACACGATTGTCCTGGCAACATTGTAGGAAAGGAACCTCTAGGCATTGATTTGTTGTTTTTGTCTTGGACTGGTCATTTCTCTAGACAACAGTCTTCTGATCTTCTGCCTAGCACGTATAAGCTTGATTGTCAGCATTCTAACAGTTCATGAATCTCTGACTTTAGAATCTTTTGGCTCTAACCAAGTTTGTGTCTTAATCAGACTTGTTATTGCTGTGACAAATACCTGAGAAACAATTTAAAGAAGGAAAGAGGGCTGGGAATGTGACTTTTAGTGGTAGAGTGCTTGCCTATCATGCATGAAGCCCTGGGTTTGATTCCTCAGTACTACATAAACAGAAAAAGCCGTAATTGGTGTTGTGTTTTAAGTGGTAGAATGCTAGCCTTGAGCAAAAGAAGCTGGGGTCAATGCCCAGGCCCTGAGTTCAAGCCCAGGACTGGCAAAAATAAAAATAAAGAATAAGGGGCTGGGAAGGTGGCTCAGTGGTAGAGCGCATGCCTTGCATGCCGGAGGCCCTGGGTTCGATTCCTCAGCACCACATAAGCAGAGAAAGCTGGAAGTAGTGCTGTGGCTCAAGTGGTAAAGCGCTAGCCTTGAACTGAAGAACTGAGGGACAGTGCCCAGGCCCAGAGTTCAGGCCCCATGACTGGACCCCCCAAAAAAAATTGAATAAAATAAATTCTAAAAAGAAGAAAATATTTACTTTGGCTCTCAGCTTTGAAAGTAACAGCCTTGGTTGGTTAGCTGCCTTATTTCTGGGCCTGTGGGGAAGTAGAACATCCTGGGGGAGAACAAAGCTATTTAGCTATCTAGCTGTTTATCCATCTATCCTTCCAGGGCATACCCCAGTGACCTCCTTTCTCTAACTAGCCCCCATTTCCTAAGTCTCCATCACCTCCCAAAAATAGCAACCACCAGTTGGGGACCAAGCCTTCAACACATGCGCCTGTGGAAGACATTTTGTATTTAAACCAATATAGGGTGCTTCTTGTTGGCTTCAGATTTGGCATTTTCTGGTCTCTAGGATGTTCCTCACTCACCCATCTATTTTCCAACTTCCACTGTGTGTGTGTGTGTGTCTGTGTGTGTGTGTGTGTGTGTGTGTCCGTCCGTCTCAGGGCTTGACTTCCACTGTGTGTGTGTGTGTGTGTCCGTCCGTCCGTCCGTCTCAGGGCTTGACTTCCACTGTGTGTGTGTGTGTGTGTCCGTCCGTCCGTCCGTCTCAGGGCTTGACTTCCACTGTGTGTGTGTGTGTGTGTGTGTCCGTCTCAGGGCTTGACTTCCAGTGTGTGTGTGTGTGTGTGTGTGTGTGTGTGTGTGTGTGTGTCCGTGTCTGTCCGTCCGTCCGTCCATCTCAGGGCTTGAACTCTGGGCCTGGGTGCTGTCCCTCAGCTCTTGAGCTCAAGGCAAGCGCTCTACCATTTGAGCTACAGCACCACTTCCATTTTTCTAGTAGTTTATTGGAGATCTCATGGTCTTTCCTTCCTGGGCTGGCTTTGAACCGTGATCCTCAGATCTCAGCCTCCTGAGTAGCTAGGATTACAGGCATGAGCCACCAGAGCCCAGCCCACTTCCACCTTTTTATAACATTCTTGCTTGTTTCTGTCTTCTTGCCAGTGTCTTAGTCCACTTTTTGTTCTATTTCTATCATCTTAGTAAGATTTTGGGATGAGAACTTAAGTTTTTTTTTAATTAATTTTATTCATTATTTTTATGTGGTACCAAGGAATCAAACCCAGGGCCTCATGCATGCTAAGCAAGCATTCTACCACTAAGCCACATTCCCAGTCCCGAGAACTTAAGTTTTTATATTCTTCCTGCACATACATTAAGAAGTCTAGATCATTATTTGTTTTCTTTTTTCTTTTTTTTTGGCAATATTGGACTTAAGTCAAGGCGTGGTGCTTCCTAGGCAGACACTTTACCCCTTGAGCCAACCTCCAGCCCTGTTTTGTTTTTGGAAGGGGGTTCTTACTGGTTATTTGTCAATTTATTTATTTTTGTTCTGGTACTGTAACTTGCTCTCAGAGCCTGGGTGCTGTCCCTTAGTTTTTGTGCTCATGGCTGGTACTGTACACTTGAGCCACATCTCCTTTTCCAACTTTTTGGTGGTAAAAATTGTAGGTAAGAGTCTCTTAGAGCCGGGCGCTGGTGGCTCAAGCCTGTAATCCTAGCTACTCAGGAGGCTGAGATCTGAGGATCGCGGTTCAAAGCCAGCCTGGGCAGGATCGACCGTGAGACTCCTATCTCCAATAAACCACCAGAAAACCGGAAGTGGCGCTGTAGCTCAAGTGGTAGAGCGCTGGCCTTGAGCTGAAGAGCTGAGGGACAGCGCCCTGGCCCAGAGTTCAAGCCCAATGACCGACCAAAAAAAAAAAAAAGAGTCTCTTAGACTTTCCTACCCAGATGAAATCCTTACTTCTCAGTTTCATGAGTAGCTAGGATTATAGATATGAGCTGGAAACTTTTTGAACTCCCAAATTACCCAGCTTTCATTTCTAGCTTTTTTACTAATGAATGGGAGATAAGAGTCTCAGATTTGTCTGCCCAGGCTGGCTTCAAACTTCAATCCCAGATCTCAGCCTCCTGAGTGACTAGAATTATAGACACAAGCCACTGGTGCTTGGCTTGGAAAGTATCTCTTTAAGGCATAAAGGCCATGTTTAACTAGTTCTTTTTTCTTTTTTAGTTTTTGAACTTGCAGTTCATCTCTCTTAGCCTCCTAATTTCTAGGATTTCAGACACAAGCCATCATGTCCAGCTTAGTCATTTAAATTGTACTTCATAAACTTAGACATATGTCTTCCTAAGTAAGTACAATCTAATTAAATAGTTTCAATACCATAGCTCATAGCAGATATATAGGTTTAGAACTTGTAAGAGCTAGCCGGGTGCCGTTGGCTCACGCCTGTAATCCTAGCTACTCAGGAGGCTGAGATCTGAGGATCGTGATTCAAAGCCAGCCTGGGCAGGAAAGTCCGTGAGACTCTTATCTCCAATAAAGCACCAGAAAACCAGAAGTGGTGCTGTGGCTCAAGTGGTAGAGCACTCACCTTGAGCTGAAGAGCTAAGGGACAGCATTCAGGCCCAGAGTTCAAGCCCCACGACCGACAAAAAAAAAAATTGTAAGAGCTCATAAACAGCCCAACACCATATGTCTCTGGCCATCCCATTGTTATCTAGGTTTTGTGTACAATTAGAGGTACTAGAAGGTTACTAGAGGCATAGAAAGTGGTCTGTCAAATACAAATCTGGAACCCAACATTACTGCTGTATAAAATTACCTAACAGTAAACTCCACAATTGAGATACCAATATGGTTGTCAACATGGAGAATATTTTCTCAGTAAGATGCAAGCTCTGCTTGCCCTCATCAGTGAAACCAACATTGTATGGGTTCTGATTTCAGATCAGCTGTGGCCAAACCTGGTTTAACAGCTCCTATTGCATATTCAATTAGATGACTGCTTCCCTCAGCACCTAACAATGACTTTCTATTGGTTGAAACAGTTTTAGCACTTACCTGGCTGTGAGACTCCTTCAAGGGTTCTTTGTAATTGTCATTTGTATTTTTCTGGTGGCTAATAATCTTAAGTATCTTTTTATGTGCTTATTGACCATTTGTATGTCTTTGGAAACTCACATTCTTTTCCCTTTTTTTTTTTGCTAGTCCTGGGGCTTGAACTCAAGGCCATGGCGATGTCTTTGAGCTTCTTTTTGCTCAAGGCTAGCGTTCTACCACTTGAGTCACAGTACCACTTCCAGCTTTTTCTATTCATGTGGTACAGGGCTTCATTCATGGTAGGCAAACACTCTACCACTAAGCCACATTCCCAACCCTTTTTTTTTTTTTGCCAGTCATGGGGCCTGAACTCAGGGCCTGGGCGCTGTCTCTCAGCTCTTCAGCTTAAGGCTAGCGCTCTATCACTTGAGCCACAGTGCCACTTCTGGCTTTTTCTGCTTATGTGGTGCTGAGGAATGGAACCCAGGGCCTCATGCATGCAAGGCAAGCATTCTACCAGAGTCATCTTCCCAGCTCCCTCCCCTTTTTTTTTTTAAGCTAGACTATTTGTTGGTTGAAGGAGGGGCTGGTAATGAATGGAACCCAAGGGCTCACACATATAGTCAAGACACTTGATACTACTGAACCACAAACACATAGTGTAATTTGTCTTTTTACTATTTGAGGTGTGTGCATGCATGCATGAGTGCAGGACTAGAATTCTAACTTAGTTCCTGAGGCTTTGGCTCATTGGCTATTATTCTACGAACAGAACCATACCTCCAACCCCTATTTGAAGTTCTTAACTTATTTTTTATTTTTTGGTTCAGTTGTGGGGCTTGAACTCTGGGCCTGGGCACTGTTCCTCAGCTCTTCAGCTCAAGGCAAGGGCTCTGCCACTTGAGCCACAGCGCCACTTCCAGTTTTCTGGTGATTTATTATTGGAGATAATAGTCTCACAGAAGGGGTTGGGAAAGTGGCTCAGTGGTAGAGTTCTTGCCTTTCATGATGAGGCCCTGGTTTGATTCCTCAGCACCACATAAGCAGAAAAGCCAGAAGTGGCTCAAGTGGTAGAGCACTAGCCTTGCGCTGAAGAGCTGAGGGTCCAGGCCCAGAGTTCAGGCCCCATGACTGGCAAAAAAAAAGAGATTTTGCTACTAACACTAGTTTTTCATGCTTTCAAGTTTATAGCTGAATGTGATAAGTAGAATTGCTATGTCATATAGTAATTCTATGTTTAATTATCAGGAAACCACCATCTGACCTAGTCACTGGTTCACACCTACAATCCTCAGAGCTAGGTTTATAGAGCTCTGTTTTGTCCACATCTAAGTGTCCAGAGGGACACTAGTGTTGATGTTGTCTTCATGTGCTCAGGGCCTTCGCTCAGGACCAGGCAACCTGGACTGTCATGGGATTGCCTGACTCACAGGACCCTCTCTTACCTCCAGCTTCTCACTTTGTTCCTCTTTGTATTACTCTTTTCCAGGGGCTCGTCCAGGAGTTTCCAGTTGTCAGAGAAAATGCCAGAAGAGTGCTAAGCGGCAGCCCTTTTCTGGAAAGTCTTTTTACTTAGATCTACCTGCTGGCAAGCATCTCCAGTTTCTGACAAGGGCCGTCCAGCAGCTGGGTGGGGTATGTGACTTAACTTCTGGGATATTACAAGCTTTGTGGACTGTGGGGCAGGAACTGGAGAGGGATTGTATCTGTGGTTTTCATGTATTTCCAGTGGTTGTTACTTCATTTTCCAAAGCAGTTTTAAGTATGAACCATTTTTTTAAATAAGGTAAATTATTTTCCTCATTGGAAAAATAACATCTGTTTATTCCAAAGAGGTAGAGACTAGGAACTATTTTTAGTGACAATCTGAATTTTTCTTTCTTCCTTTTTTCCTTTCCCCCCTTCCTCCCATAATGGGTTTTTTTGGGGGGGGGTCCGGTCGTGGGGCCTGAACTCTGGGCCTGGGCGCTGTCCCTCAGCTCTTCAGCTCAAGGCTAGTGCTCTACCACTTGAGCCACAGCCACTTCCGGCTTTTTTCTTTTTGCTTATGTGGTGCTGAGGAATCGAACCCAGGGCCTCATGCATGCGAGGCAAGCGCTCTACCACTGAGCTACCTTCCCAGCCCAAGGCTCATGCCTTTACTCCTAGTTGCTCAGGAGGCTAAGATCTGAGGATTATGGTTCAAAGCCAGCCAGGGCAGGAAAGTTCTTGAGACTCTTATCTCCAATTAACCACCATAAGGCTGAAAGGGAGCTATCACTTAAGTGGTACAGTGCTAACCTTGAGCACAAAAGCTCAGAGGCAGTTCCCAGGCCCTGAGTTCAAGCCTTAACAGTAGCATGTGCACACAGACATACAAATAACTCACGTAAAAAAGGGGGCTGGGAGGTGGGGATCAGCAGTAGAATACTTGCCTACTAAGTGGAGGTCCTGAGTTCAAACTCTAGTATTGCCAAAAAGAAAAGAAATTGCAAGGGTGGGGTGTGTATGTGGAGGGGAGTGGAGATGGGAAGGGATGGGAAGGGGAAACAAAGGAGGAGGCAACAATGCTTGATAAGAAATGTACTCATTGCCTTGCCCATGTAATTGTAACCCCTCTGTATGGTATTTTTCACAATTAAAAAAAAACAGCTAAAAAAAAAGCACCTATACTGAATTTGTACAATTTTTTTATCTCATTATTCCTTAAACAATACAGTGTTTTTTTTTTAAATTATATTGTATCAATATAATCCCAAAAGCCTGGCTGAACTTTTAGTCTATTCTTTCATTTAACTTCTGCTTATAAAAACCACCCTGGAATTAGGATTTTTTTTTTTTTTTTGCCAGTCATGGTGCCTGAACTCTGGGCCTAGGCACTGTCCCACAGCTCTTCAGCTCAAGGCTAGTGCTCTACCACTTGAGCCACAGCACTACTTCCAGCTTTCTCTGCTTATGTGGTGCTGAGGAATCGAACCCAGGGCCTCATGCATGCAAGGCAAGCACTCTACCACTGAGCCACCTTCCCAGCCCCGGAATTCGGATTTGAAGCAATGTTTTATCCTTTCAAATCATTATGCTGGCATTGGCTGGGTAATTCCTCTGTGCTCCAGCAGTATTCAGCTGGCGGGTCAGCTGGATTGAAAGGACCAAGATAGTGGTGATCACATAGCACTATGTTGCTTTTTGTTCTTATACACAAAGCTTCTTATATACATTACTCATCTGTATAGTATGGTGTCTGTTTATATTAAACCAAACCGCCGGGCGCTGGTGGCTCACTCCTGTAATCCTAGCTACTCAGGAGGCTGAGATCTGAGGATCGAGGTTCACAGCCAGCCCGGGCAAGAGAGACCGTGAGACTCCTATCTCCAATAAACCACCAGAAAACCGGAAGTGGCGCTGTAGCTCAAATGGTAGAGCGCTCACCTTGAGCTGAAGAGCTGAGGGACAGCGCCCAGGCCCAGAGTTCAAGCCCCATGACCAACCAAAAAAAAAAAAAAAACTGGTTTCCAGTGGTCACAGGCAGCCTTCCTAGATATTACCTCTCCCACATTCTATTGGTCAAAATGAGTCAGGTTGTAGAGAAAAAAAAATAGGCTGTACCTTCTGAAGGAAGGAATAAAGTCACATTGTAATACATGGATAGGAGAAATGTGTGGCCATTGAGCAGTCTGCTCCATTTACCTAGACTGATAGTTGTCTAACTTCCACCCTCTCATATTTGTTTTTGCCTATTGAAAAAAGTAGATGTACTCCTTCAAGCTATAACTTTTTTTTTTTTTTGGCGCCAGTCCTGTGGTTTGAACTCAGGGACCAGACCAGGTGCTGTCCCATTGGTAGACTAGTGCTGTACCTCTTGAGTAACAGCTCCATGTCTGGCTTTTTGGTGATTATTGGTGATAAGAATCTCATGGACTTTCCAGCTTGAGCTGGCTTTGAACAGTGATCCTCAGATCTCAGCCTCCTAATAAGCTAGGGTTACAAGCATGAGCCACCAGCACCCAGCCACCAAATCTTTTTTGTTTCATTATTGTTTTAGGCTCCTTTTTAAATACATATGTATTGTGATCAAGATTACAAGTTCAGTGTTGGGGGCTGGGAAAGTGGCTCAGTGGTAGAACATTTGCCTTGCATGCATGAGGCCCTGGGTTCGATTCCTCAGCACCACATAAGCAAAAAGAAAAGGCCGGAAGTAGCACGTGGCTCAAGTGGTAGAGCGCTCACCTTGAGCTGAAGAGCTGAGGGACAGCACCCAGGCCCAGAGTTCAGGCCCCACAACCGGACCCCCCAAAAACAAAACAAAACAAAACCAAGTTCAGTGTTGGACATCCAGGTGTGTCTTACAGAAAACATAGTGTCCTAACCAAGCTGTTATTAAGCCTACCTCACCCCTTATATGTGTTTCTTCTATGTGCAGTATCATATTGTCAAAGAACTCAAAGCATGTTGCCTTCTGCTGCTGGTCAGGAGCAGCAGTTCTTGGAGTCAAAAAAATACACACACACACACACACTATTGTATTTCAGGGTAACGTCTTCTTGGGGATTTGGTGCAGAAGTGCATTCTAGTCTATTTAAAGACATTGATTTTTGAAACTTCTGGCAGCCAAGATTTGCTTTCTCAACTTTTTGTTATTGACAATTCTACATCTGCTTTTTGATCTTGAGCCATGTCTGTGATCTGGTTTCAGGTAATTGAGGGTTTTCTGAGCAAAGAAGTAAGTTACATCGTGTCCAGCCGCAGAGAAGCAAAAGCAGAGCGCAATGGCACAAGCCATAGAGGCCGCCCCAGCTCCAGTGAGGTCAGAGTGGAAACTGCCTCCTTAGCGAATCCAAAAGGCTACCAGGCCACACCTTCACAGAAACCTGTAGACTCGGTAAGCACCTCATGCAGGAAGATGGGTGTTCTGTAAATGAAGGAAGAGGGCATTGGTGAGCCCTTTTAGGACATCTCTGGTTTTAGTTTAATCTTACTTGAATTCAGAAACTGAGGTTATTTATTATAGCTGTGGATCTAAGCACCTCATCAGTACGCCATTACCATGATTCCTTCTAGCTATAGGTCCTCTGTTGCTATTTCTGTTCTTATCCTGGGGCTTGAATTCAGGGCCTGGACACCTGTCCTTTAGCTTTTTTGCTTATGGGGCTGGTGCTCTCTCACTTAAGCCACAGCTCTACTTCCAGCTTCTTGTTGGTTAATTGGATATTAAGAGTCTCATGTCCGGGCGCTGATGGCTCATGCCTATAATCCTAGCTACTCAGGAAGCTGAGATCTTAAGATCATTGTTCAAAGCCAGTGTAGGCAGGAAAGTCCGTGAGACTTTTTTTTTGCCAGTCATGGAGCTAGAATTCTGGGCCTGGGCACTGTCTGTCAGCTCTTCAGCTCAAGACTAGCACTCTACCACTTGAGCCACAATACCACTTCCAGCTTTTTCTGCTTATGTGGTGCTGAGGAATCGAACCCAGGGCCTCATGCATGCAAGGCAAGCACTCTATCACTGAGCCACCTTCCCAGCCCAAGACTTTTTTTTTTTTTTTTTTTTGGGTCCGGTTGTGGGGCCTGAACTCTGGGCCTGGGTGCTGTCCCTCAGCTCTTCAGCTCAAGGCTAGCACTCTACCACTTGAGCCACAGCGCCACTTCCGGCTTTTTGTTTTTGCTTATGTGGTGCTGAGGAATCGAACTCAGGGCCTTGAGCATGCAAGGCAAGCGCTCTACCACTGAGCCACCTTCCCAGCCCCCAAGACTCTTTTTAATCTCCAATTAACCACCAGAAAACAGAACTGTGGTTCAAGTGGTATAGTGCTTGCCTTGAGCTGAAGAGCTGAGGGACAGCGCCCAGGCCCAGAGTTCAAGCCCTACGACTGATACTCCTCCACCCCTGCCACCTCCCCACCCCCAAAGAAAAGAGAGAGGTCTTGGAATTTTGTGATCATATAACCTCAGGTGAATTGAGAGTGCCCTTTACCAGGGTTCAGACTGCCCAGGCTGCAACCACCTCTAGGCGACTTGATCTTATATGTAGTTATGCCTCTACCTCCTCAAGGGTCTCATTTGTGCCTAGCCTCAGCTGTCTCTTCTAGCTTTCTGAGAACCATGACCTAAGACACTCTCATCAGCTCATGTGCGAACATCTGTGCATACTTTGTGGTCTATCTCATTGCCCTTCTCTTCGTGGCAGGTGCCTTTGAGCAGAGGGAAGGAGCTATTGCAGAAGGCCATCAAAAAACAGGTGAGCTAGAGCAAGAGAGGGCTGAATGGATGGAAACAGGTAGTGGTGAAGGTCACCACAATTGTGTAAAGGCAATTGATGCCAGTAAAAGCATGCATTTAAAAAGGATCAAAATACCTCTTGTTTTATCACAATTTTAAAACTTTAAGAAGTTACAGCTTGGGGCTGGGAAAGTAGCTCAGTGGTAGAGTGCTTGCCTTGCATGCATGAGGCCCTGAGTTTGATTCCTCAGCACCACATAAGCAGAAAAAGCCAGAAGTGGCTCAAGTGGTAGAGTGCTAGCCTTGAGCTGAGGAGCTAAGGGACAGCACCCAGGCCCAGAGTTCCGGCCCCACAACCGACCAAAAAAAAAAAAAGTTACAGCTTGAAGGAATATATTACTTTCTTCAATGTGGCAAAAACAAGGATGATAGAGGGTAGTGGGTAGATGTTTCCAGCACAAGGAAGATTTAGCCAAGTACTTCTGAAGAACTAACTCAAAAGCCATATTCTGAGATGTTAGTAACACCATTAGTTCCTTCTTACAAATGATGGAGTAGAGGCTTAGAGAAGTTCAGTAATTTATCCAGAGCCAGCTAGGGATTGTATATTAAAAGCCACAATCAGGGCTAGGAATGTGGCTCAGTGGTACAGTGCTTGCCTGGCATGCACGAGGCTGTGAGTTTGATTCCTCAGCACCACATAAACAGAAAAGCTAGACTTTGTACATCTTTCATAAGTGGCTGCTTATCCCTTTTTTGAGTTCCAAGAGCCATTAAATTAAATAGCAAGAGAAAGCTCTCAGGCGATCATGTGAGAAGAATGGTTAAAGCAGAATGAAGATGTGTACGGTCAGGTACAGTGGCCCATGCCCACAGTTCCCACTTCTTAGAAGGCTGAAGCTAGGGGAGTGCTAGCCCCAAGAATGTTGCCTGGGCAACATAGCTGTCCTCATGTAAATAAATAAACAAACAATGGGTATCTTGGCTGGAACGAGCGAGGGAGATGATATTGCTGGACCGAGGCAGCATAGCTTCCTACTTGGTGCTGACAATCATTGCTGGTGTTTATTATGTATACTTGCTGTGTTCAGTCAGCTCTCAAGCCCTGCTGACAGACCTGTGTCTTAGAAGCGTATGTTCCTTTATGGTCACAAGATGGCCAGAACAGAGCATGTGGGTAGATCAGCAGTCTTCCCCTGTCCTGGTCCATCCATGTGGAGAACAGGGTGTGTTTTCCCTAGAACTGGGATGCCACCCCACAGATATCCTTCTCAGAAGACTCCCAGAGCAATATCTACCTGTCCCCATCATGCTCTAGCCCTGAGCTGTCTCTGCTCTTGTCATTTCAGGGGAGTAGCAGCAGCAGCCTCCTGACCAATGCCCGTTCCTGGGGAGTGAAAGTCCTGCATGTGGAAGGTACTGCTTCCACCTTGGCTACCTGTAGGGGAGAATACAGGTGACCAGCCTGGAACATCACCTTTCAGAAGATCGTGGTCATATAAGCTCTGGTAGCTGAAGCCAGAACTCTCAGTAACTCTGTTGGTCCACAAAGTGCAAGTATGGAACAGTAGCGTAGCAGATAGCAAAGTGTGGGCCGTGGCCTCAGCATCTGGGACAGTGTAATGGTCATGATAGTAATATTTTTTAAATAAAGCTGTAATTCTAAGATCCATTCACCAGGTGTTTAAGCATTGCTAAGAATTACTTATTCTCACCATAGTTCTGAACCCATGTTCAGGTGAAAGAATTGAGCCTCAGATGGATTAGTTTAACTGGCCGTGTCTTATTAGAGTGAGCACCATGACCTATATTGTTTTGGCTTCTCTCTTTTTCCAAAGGGTTGCCTAATGCTATAAATGACCTGTTTTGCTATTGTAATAAATTTATACTAGAATAGTTGTCCTCAATTTGTTAGCAATGACTGATTCCATTTTCAGTTTCACTTGGTGCCAGGTTTTCCCTGATCCATTTTAGAGGGTAGGTTCAAATGGACAGCCTTCAGGTACTAATTTGGATGCTACCACATCTTGTGCTGAGGAAGTTGTCTTATCTGGCATGTGGGGACTCCATCTCACTGGAACGTGTCAGTTCTGGACTTGATTTGTTTCCCTACCTATGTGCTAGAGAAACTCTGGCTTGCTGAGTTCCTACTCAGTATCTACCAGAGGCTACACCTGTGTGGCTCAGAGGGTCCGTTTCCCCTGCAGGGAACCCCTTGCTTTTACCATACCATCCTTGGTGAGCTATATGACACCTCCATCCAAAGCTGAGTTGTATTCGGTGCTAGAAAAGAGCAGGAAGCCTCCTGTTGTCAGGAGGTGCCAAGTGACATGGAGCCACAAGGTGGCAGGCAAGGCTGATATTATCCAGTGGGCTAAGCAAGGTGACAAGTTTAGTCCTGGAGCCAAGAAAGAGACTGCAAAAGCCTTGCCACTGTCTTCTGTTCTCCACAGAAATGATGATGCACGTGCGGCAGCTGTCTATTGGTGGTTCTTCACATACAAAGAAACAAGAACCAAAGAAGCCAGAAGTAAGTCATCCCACTAAAACACAGGGCAGTGCATTGCATGGTTATCAGTGATGTCTATGACACATTGGGTTATTCTGTGACCCACCTAAATCCCATTGTTTCCTAGCCATTCTGGAAAACCTAATAGTGGAGATCTAAATGGCTTGAGAGTCTAATTTTGTAGACATTTCAACTGCAGGAGGCAAAGTGGGAAAAACACAGCAACTAGGTCTCCTTTGTGTGTGTGTATATGTGTGGGCATATATGCGTGTGTGCACGCACATACCAGTCTGAACTGAGGGCCTCATGTTCTTGATTGGCTTTATTTTTTGGGGGGGGGCATTGGTTGTGGGGCTAGGCCTGGGCACTGTCCCTCAACTCTTCCTTAAGGGTAGCATTCTTACCACTTGAGCCACAGCGCCACTTCTGGTTTTCTGGTAGTTTATTGGAGATAAGAGTTTCACAGACTTTCTTGCCTGGGCAGGCTCTGAACTTCGATCCTCAGATCTCAGCCTCCTGAGTAGGATTACAGATGTGAGCCACCAGCACCTGGCTTGATTGGCTTTTTTACTGAAGGCTGGCACTCTGCCACTTGACACATGCCACCACTTCCAGCTTTTACTGGTTAATTGGAAATAAGGGTCTCACAGATATTTTTGCCCAGGCTGGCTTCAAATATTGATCCTCAGATCTCAGCCTCTGGAGGATTCAAGAGGTAGGCCACTGACACCCACTTCTGCCTTTATTCTTAGTGTCCACAGCTCTGCATGGCCCTTTCCTTTCTCTTCTATGATTCACTGCAGCCTAGGCCAGGGGCTGCCTGTGGGTGAGCCTGTCCTAGATAAATGTGCAAATGCTCATGACCTGTGTCCAGCCTGCCATTCTGGGGACAGCTCTTGGCCTGGGAAATGAACTTACAGATTGTATGGGGGAGGGAGAGTTGTAGCTTCAAGTAGCTGTCACCTTCCAAGTCCTTATTGGCTTTTCCTTCTTGCTGGGGTTAAAGCTGCACATGCCCTATCAAGAGAGCCCAGACTCATTTAAAGCCACAGTATCTGCACCCAAGCCTAAACATGAGAAAGGAGTGAACCTGCATATCCGCCTGGCTCTACATCCAGGAATAGGACTAACAGGAGGAACAAAGTGTGTCCAACGTGGTTGGCATGCTCCGAGTCTAAAAGCCCCCTCTCCATATCCCCAGTCTTTGCACTAGGGGAGTTGGTTTACAATGAAGAATTCTTTTTTTGGGGGGTGGGGGCAGGGGGTCTGGTTGTGGGGCCTGAACTCTGGGCCTGGGTGCTGTCCCTCAGCTCTTTAGCTCAAGGCTAGCACTCTACCACTTGAGCCTTGGTGCCACTTCCGGCTTTTTTTTTCTTTTTGCTTATGTGGTGCTGAGGAATCGAACCCAGGACCTCATGTATATGAGGCAAGTGCTCTGCCACTGAGCCACCTTCCCAGCTCATGAAGAATTCTTCTTAAAATGAAGAATGTCCTTCCAACTTAGGTCCTCCAGCCTCCATTCCCAGCATAAACAGTGTGAACACATTCCTATGTACCCTTCTAGAGCTCCACACACATAACAGGCAAACATCAAAAATCCTCCCATTGGGGCTGGGAAGGTGGCTCAGTGGTAGAATGCTTGCCTTGCATGCATGAGGCTCTGGGTTTGATTCCTCAGCACCACATAAGCAGAAAAAGCCGGCAGTGGTGCTGTGGCTCAAGTGGTAGAGTGCTAGCCTTGTGCTGAAGAACTGAGGGACAGTGCCCAGGCCCAGAGTTCAGGCCCCACGACCGACCAAAAAAACAAAAATCCTCCCATTGTGGACTGAGGGTTTAGCTCAAGAAAAGTTCCTGTCTGGCACACATGAGACCAACAAAATAACCCTCCGTGTAAACAAAAATAACCCTCCGTGTGAATACACAGCATTTGTACTTTGCTTTCCCTTGGTAACCCATGTTGTAGATATTTGGGTCTTCTGGAATTTATCTACTCTGGCTTGTCTGCCCTAGAGGTGCAGCTGGAGGAGAATCTGGAGCCACCTTGGGCCCAGATGTATAGGCAGTTGTAGATTGTCAGCTTTCCCATCCTGCCGCACCCCAGGTCTTGGGCTGCCTTTTATTTTGATCTGTTTAGTTTTTAATAACAGCTTTATTTGACCCTATCCTTTTTTTTTTTTTTTTGGTCAGTCCTGGGGCTTGAACTCTGGGCCTGGGCACTGTCCCTGAGCTGCTTTTGCTCAAGGCTAATACTCTACCACTTGATCCATAGTGCCACTTCCAGCTTTTTCTGCATATATGGTACTAAGGAATTGAACCTGGGCTTCATGCATGCAAAGCAAGCACTCTGCCACTAAGTCACATTTCCAGCCCTTGACCTTATCTTCAATATTGGTTTGGACCCATAGTGCTAGGGTACATGACATGAGCACTGGGAAGCAAATAGCCATTTTCCTCATCCTATAGGTGACCTGGAAAGTCCACAGTGCCTAGAAGATAAAAGCTGCCACCATAGCTGGGAGGTGGTGGCTCATGCCTATAATCCAAGCTACTCTGGAGGCTGAGATCTGAGAATCACACTTTGAAGCCAGCCTAGGCAGAAAAGTTCATGAGATTCTTAATTTCCAACAAACTACTCAGAGCCAGAAGCAGCTCTGTGGCTCAAGTGGTAGAGCACCAGCCTTGCGCAAAAGAAGCTCAGGGACAGCACAAAAAAAGAAAAAAGAAAAAAAGCTGCTACCTAGTGATCACCTTTAGTTTTGGGTCTTTCAGGTGTTTCGATTTTAGCCTGTCAGGTAAATGGATGCTCCTCACCTTATAGGTGGCACAGCTCCACTTTACGCCTGAGCCAGAGTGACTCTTGTTCTTTGCTTCATCCTGCATCTCCTCCCCAAAGTCCATTTCCATCAAGATTCACTGAGAGGCTCTCCTTTGATCATGGTCCTGGGCAAGAGGAGGAAGCCTCTGCTCAGATTTGCTCCAGCTCACAGCCTGAGAGTCTAATTTTTGTGCTGGTACTGGGCTTAAACTTAGCCTGGGCACTGTCCCTTAGCTTTTTTGTAGTGCTCTACCACTTGAGCCACTCCTTCAGTTCTGGCTTTTTTCTGGTTACTTAGAGTTTCACAGATTGATCTGCCTGTGCTGGCTAGGAACCATGATCCTCAGATCTTAGCTTCCTGGGTAGCTAGAATTATAAATGAGCCACCAGTGCCCAGCTCTGAGAGTCTAGTTTTGGCAGACCTTCCAACAGCAGGAAGCAAAGTGGGACAGAATCAGAGCAACTGGGCCTCCCAGGCCCAATTCCTCGACCCCTGTGGCTCTCTCACATCCTTAACCTATTTTCCTTTTCCATTTAGGGAACACGTCCAGGAGTGGAGTCAAGAGCACGGAAAGGTCAGCGTGGAAGCTTTTCTTCATCTAATTGCAATCCCTCCCTCTATAAACACTTCCCCATGACTCCCTCTGAGGTAGCATCTGCTCGCTTTTCTGTGGCAGGAAGCAAGTCCAGCTTGTGTTGCCCCCTCATGTTTCCAAGGCCTGTGCCTCAGATCTCTGGGGTGAGAGAAGTCCATCTAAGTACCAGCACAGAGCTGCCAGGTTGGGCTTCTCAAGAGCCAGGATGCCATGCAGGTGCTTTTGGCTTCTGTGTCCTCTGGTTGTTCCTGGGCATCAGTTGAAGTTCACGGTCCTTTTCCTTCTGATTCAGTAGCAGTTTGGGGTGGGCAGTTTGACAGCTGCCTACCGTTTTCAGAAATGCCAAACTCCCTGAAACTGACAAACTGGCAGATTGATGGACTCTGTCTCCCAGTTCCTTTTGGACAGCAGGAGAATTTCTTCCCCCTGGATGTTTCTCCCAGAGCTGCTCTTTAAGTGGCATTTATTCCTGCCCAAGCAGGATCTAAGAAAAGTTTCTTGGCACCACCACAGGCTTGAAATTTGGGGAAGTCTGTAGGGGAATAGATTTTAATCACTGTCTTAGTTAATTAGAAAGACAAAAAATTGTCCCCAAAAGGTAATTAACAGGAGCTGAGGCTGAGGAGAAGAGGCTGCATTTTGCTCAGGTGCTACTGATGGCCTCCTGCGGGGTTGGGAGTGAGGTAGCACTCTCTTTGGTTCTGCCCAGCTCCCAGCCTGCCTGTTGTGCCTTGACAACTGGTCACAGTGAAATGATAGAAGAGGTCTTAGCTTGAGGGAAATCTGTAAGCTATGCAAATAACTAGATGGTAGGGGATGACTATCTTGATTAATTGAGTCCAAATTTGTCTCCTCAGCAACCCTTTGCCTTAGTTTTTTTCAGCAACCAGATTTCTCCTGTGATAGTTTTTTATCCTGCTACTGAGATCACAAAACACTCTTGGTATTGGCCTTGAACTCAGGGCTTTGGACTCTTACCTGAATTTTTCTTTTTTTGTCGGTTGTGGGGCTTGAACTCTAGGCCTGGGCGCTGTCCCTCAGCTCTTCAGCTCAAGGCTAGCACTCTACCACTTGAGCCACAGTACCAATTCCAGTTTTCTGAGTGGTTTTTTGGAGATAAGAGTCTCACAGACTTGGGCTGGGGAGGTGGCTCAGTGGTGGAGCCCTTGTCTTGCATGCCTGAGGCCCTGGGTTCGATTCCTCAGCACCACATAAGCAAAAAGAAAAAAGCCGGAAGTGGCACTGTGGCTCAAGTGGTAGAGCG